CAGGTGGCTATCCTGTCAGGGTAAAGCCCATGTACTTTCAAGCCCACCCAACTCGCCTGGCTTTAACACAGCGCGAATGTATCACCTTTAAGTTAAGGTCCAGCGACTGGGATCTGCTCTGCAACCGAGCCCCGAAATGACGTCGAAGGATCAGACAGGGCAACGTAGCACCACCTATGGCAGACCCAGCTAAATCACCCCACCAAGCAGCTTAGCGCGAGGCCTATTCCAGGGGAGAAATAAGGAAAGCCACAACAAGATCACAAGAAAGAAATGGGAAGTTCGGGCCTAATACCCGGGAGACAGAATACTCCCACGAGATGCAGGGGAACAAGGGAGAAGTCGGTACTAAGGGTGGGGTACACAAACGCCACAAGTATCGAAAACAAATAGCCCAAACTGCGAGCACGGGCAAGCGAGGATGACGTGATAGTACTCACAGAATCATGGCGCCGATCTGGTGACGAAAATAATAAACCTGAGTTCTCCCAACTATATTCTCAGCAGAGCGAATCGCAGGGTGGACGGTCTGGTGGGGGAGTGCTAGTGCTCGTAGCCACTTACCGCAGCCATCATGAAGAGCGTCACTACAACATCCCGAACGTACAAGAAACGGAGATGACTGTGCAAACCGCACAACACCGGCTATCAGTCATCGGTGTCTAGAGGAGCCCATCGGTCACGATAGAGGAAAATCAGCTACTGCTAGAGTTGTTAAGTGAACAGGCTGGATCTAGTGACCGGGTGTTATTTAGTAGGAGAATTTAACCCTCCGGAAATCGCTTGGATCACCAAAACAGCCCCACTGGGGACGTTTGGAGAAGGACTACTTGAAGTGTCGTAGGGCTCTGATTCAACGTATGACCAACGAGACCACATGGAGATTCGGACAGACCGCTTCTGGTCTGGATCTGGTGCGCGCAAAGTTCCTCAATGGGGTGCGGAATTATTGTAAAAGACCCGATGGGAAAGCGACCAACGTGTTATACCGATGGGGATCAGCATGAGGGGACTATCTGCTCCTAAGAAATTCCGGTGCCAAATACCCACTGTAGCCATAACCGATACGTGAGTGCATCGGCCGCATGAGGGACAGTAAATGGAAGCAGCAAGCTGTAGGGCTAGCCATCTTCTACAGCAACGCTTGCAGCACCGGAAAAAAATGAAAGCAACTGCAAAAAGACTCAACGGGCGTCGACTGCACGGCAATCACTGGGATGCGACGAAACAACCAGCTCAATGCAGATCCACTCTGCCCACAGAGTTAAATCAGATACAGACAGGACAGAGATGATGGCAAATTTGGAGGAGGAGTCCTACTGCTACTAGGACGGCACGTACAACAGTAGAAGAAGAATACCTTTGTCTCCTCATGCATTCAAGGCACCTCTGCTGTAGACACTTCCCGTGGAAAGAGCGTACTTATCCTATGAACTTACCAAAGCCCCTCATCAACTGAGGTTGAAAACACCAGATACGTAGACTACTTGCAACGGTCTTTCTCTACACGTATGATCGTATTACTAGTTAAGGATTTAAATACACCAGAAATTGACTGGCCCCCGGATGGGTACATGGGTCTTCGTCTTTCAGCCAGAAACAACTAGAGGTACTCAGCGAAAAGAATCTCGTGCAGCACGTCCACCAAACAACGCAATGAAGAGAAAGGCAAAATCTGTCCTCGTTCGATGTCATCGTGAAGAAGTATCCAGCTGAAGATAAGGACCTGTGTATCGCAGCACCTCTTGGTAGAAGCGACCACGGAACGCTCCGTTTCCTATATTTCAAAGATAGAGAAACGTCACACGACAAATGGAGGAGGTCTTACAAAGGTTTCAGTGCAATCGCCTTGGTTTCTAGGGCAGCAACTATGAACTGGCAAAGCAAGTTCATCGACTTAGATCATACATGGGGACAAATCATAGGAAACTTGCTAACCCTAACTGAGAAATTCGCCCCCCTGAGGCTACTGCGTCAAAGAGGCTGTCTACCCTGGTGGAGAAGTGCGGCGAGCAAGGCTCAAAGGAGAATACGTCTTGTTTGGAAGAGCTCTGCTGCCCAACAAAGTCACTTCGGGTACACTTAGTTTCTTTGGAGCTCGAGATGCAGTCACCAGCATTCAAAAGAGTTACAAGATGAGATATGAGTTATCTCTGGTGTCGAATGCAGAAACGTGCCCCAAGGCATATTTTATGTTCAGTCAAAATAAAGCATAAGAGTAACCATAGGTAATGTACTACTTGAATCAGGAGAGCATGCAACCAAACCGGGTCAGAAAGCTAAAGGTTTACTAAATTTCTCCACCACCGTTTACATGGAGGATAACAGGACACCTTCAAGAGAGTTTATCCTCTCTCAAATGGTGCAGATGGCACATCCTACGATATACGCTGGAGAAACAGCAGCAATTTTATGGGGACTTGATAAGCACAAAGCTACAGGACCGGACGGGATCCATCCTGCAATCCTGTCTCCTTTAGCTGACACCTTGACACAGGTAAATAATAAATTAATAAATAATGAATAATAAATGCCAGAGGACTGGCGGATAGCGGAGGTGGTACTGATCCATAAATCGGCAGACGGGACAACGTAGAGCATTACCGACTCGTAAGCCTCCTCCCGTTGGTGCTTAAAGCT